GGGGAGAACTGATAAGATTCAGCTGTGAGTGACTGTTCACAGGATTCATTGTGAGCCCCAGCCTGCTGGGTCCAACAAGCCATCTCAGAAGCAGGAAGAGGAAATCTCACGACCAGCACGAGAAGAGCCAGGAGCGAGCATATCCATTTGACCCGGAGATCCATGTGCAAGGAACCTCCTTGATCCAGGAGACAGGTTTGACGGGAGAGAGGAGTGCAAGAGCAGAAGCGGAAGCCAGAGGGGTGGACTTCCAAGGCCACAGCTGAGTGTTTTGGGGGCGGGAGGCTGACTTGTGGCATGGGATGCTTCGCAGCACTTCGTTGGGAAAGCTGGTTTTACTGACTCACAGAGCTGAGCCGAGTGCCTTTGGGCTGAGGCTATCGGCAGAGTGACGGGCCCTTTGGCAGCCCTGCAAAAAGCTTTGTAGCATTGCGTGAACAGAAGAGAGGCCAGCCAGTTCATGTGCTGAGGGCCAGAGAGGGCCTTCCTATGGCTATTGCCCCGACTGAGCAAACTTGGAATCCCAAGCATTTCTCACCTGAATTGTAACTCATTCACCTCCCTAATCAACCCTATCAATGTGAGCACCACCTGGGAGTTCTGTCTGGCAGTTGCAATAGAACATAGCAGAATAGTAGAGTGGGGGGAATGGTTGGTGTCAGAAGAGGACGAAGAAGGGTGGAGGTTGGAGGCATGTTGTACCCCGGCTTATGGCAATGTGCCTTGTGAGCCAGGGGAGGTCAGATGTAGCTCCCAAGCTGTTTTTAAAGGGGCTATTTAAGGGTAACTCAATAGACACATGAATGTCATTGCCAATTGTGGCAAACAAATCAGTAGCTTGAAAGGCTCTAGCTAATGCGTATTTAGACATTGGAATTCATCTCATAGGTCTGGTGAGGATTGAGATATTCATATGGATGTGGGTAGATTGTTCCCAGTAAAGAGGAACAGCCTGACAGTCTCCCTGCTTGGGAATTCATTAGATGAATCCACCCTACAGTTGGTGATGTGGCCCTACAGTCTGAAGAATACTGTTAGTGGGTCTGGAAGATTGTTCAGTTAACTCTTCTTCAGAGGCTTTATTTAGGAAAATAAGAGTTGTGTTAAGAATAAAGATTAAGTCATGACCTGGGTTTTATTCAGACCCCCAAAGAGGCCCTTAGAACATGGAAATCTAGGAATAGTGACTACTGGGAATAATGGGCAATGCCTCCATTCTTGTACCCATGTATTCAGAGCTACCCAATCATGTCCTTGCAGCGGTGAGAGCCATCAGGGAAGGCCAGCAGGACTTGAGGCTAGGAGGGCACCATATATTCAGTGATGAGACCTTTTACATTGGTGAGCATCAGTATCTGTCCAATCCAAAAACGCTGTCAGAGGCATGGCTATAGCAGAAGTTAAGAAAAAGAAGGGGGGGGGGGCGCGGAGTGAGTGACTGGCAGGCCACCTTGTTCAGGACCTTGGGTCAGCCTTCTGTTTCAGATGCCATCTGCTGCTGATGGTGGCCACAGGGAGTTTGGATTTTATAAGCAACTTTACATATTTTTAGGTTACTTGTCCAGGGGGTTGCCCTTCAGTAGGTTGAGTTGTCCTGGAAGGTGCTTTAGTTTTCTTCAAGTGCGACAAGTGGATCCAGATTTTCAACTCCCTGTCATTTGGTGGTATAGGGTTAATGAGGACCAAAAATAGTCCTTCCCTACAAAACTCCCTAAGGCTTCTAGTTGGTGCTTTTCCCCAATGCACATAGTCTCTGGTTGAGTAGTAGGTAAATTTTGTATTTCTAAATTTTACCTGTCTAAAGATTCTTTGACTCGTGAATGATGTTCTTTTGAGTACCGAACCCCAGACTGACAGTATTTTAGTAGTTCAGGTTGAATTAAATTTGAATCAGACTAAATAGAAAATTAAGAGTCATAGGTCTTCCAATAATAATTTCATGTGGGGTTCATTTATGTGGCTCAAGTGGAGCGGACCTCAAACTTAGAAGGACCAAGGGAAGCACCCTGGCAGAACAGGGGTTTAAGCATTGGGCTGCCCCCTGCAAAGTCAGAGGCATAAACCCGCCAGTTGCGCTGCAGGAGAGAAATCCTAAGGAGCAGACCTATTTTGATTTACAGAGTTGCTATGAGTTTGAAGTGACTTTGGTTTTTATTTGAAGGGATGTATTTTGGCCCAGGATGAGCTTAAGGGCTAAGAAAGCTCGGTTAATTGGTGTTTTGGTACCTCGTTGGTGTTTTCTGCTAGCCCAGAAGACTGTGGACCGTAAGGATCATGACGAAGTCGCTGATGAATTGTTAGTGCGCCCCTAGTGGAGATGATGCTTTCAAGACGTTTTCTAGCTACACAAAGGTTGCCTTGTCGTTTGGTAGAAGAGGCCTCTACCCAATGTGAAACTGAGAGCCATCGCCAATTCATCTTTATAACCATTTGAAGGTGGGAGCTGTGTAAAATCTAATTTCCACTTAAGCACAAATCCTGAAGGTGCTGAGTGTTTTCCAGGTAAAACTTTGGTTTGTCGTAGGAACAATCAGAGCAGTGAGAAGCAACATGCTTGGTAGCTTTTAAAAATGGTCCTAACAGAATTTCTTTAAAATGTCAGTCACTTTCTCTCATCCTAAATGGCATTGTTCGTGGAGAGTTTTTAACACAGAGCCCCATGAAATGTTTATGTTTAAGATAGGCTGCTCACTGGGCCTTAGCCATAATTTGGCACTGTGGTTCTGAGAACAGTGCGCTCTCTTAGGTTTCTCAATTTTATCTCGTTGTTGTTGTTTTTTTAATTTTATAAAGTTACTTCATTACGATCAGAATTGTTTCTGAGACAACCACAGCAATCTCCTTTTTCTGTGTTTGTCAGGGCTGCTATCCTGTGTTGTGTTCGGCTGGGTTATCTAGAGAAACACAGCCATGTGCTTTAGAATCCATGTGACATGTGGATAAGGAATCCATGACAGATGAAACCCTCAGGAACAGTAATGGGAGTATTACTACCCGATGTTCCTCAGGAACAGTAATGGGAGTATTACTACCCGATGTTCCTCAGGAACAGTAATGGGAGTATTGCTACCCGATGTTCCTTAGGAACAGTAATGGGAGTATCGATACCCGTGGGGGGAGAAAGGGGAAACTGATCGACGTATAAACCACCACCCTCCCCCCAGGGGGACGAACCACAGTAACGTAGGTAAATGGAGACATTGGGTGGTATAAGATATGAAAACAATAATAATTTATAATTTATCAGGGGTCTATGAGGGTGGAGGAGGGGAGGGAGGGAAAAAACAGGAGCTGATACCAAGGGCTCAAACAGAAGAAAATATTTTGAAAATGAGGAGGGCAACACATGGGCAAATGTACTTGATACAACTGATGTATGGGTTGTGATAAGAGCTGTAAGAGCCCCCAGTAAAGTTATTTATTAAAATAATAATAATAAAAGAAAGGACTTTATCTCAAGAAGCCATCCCAGCCCAGGCCAACTCAAGTCCATGGGCTCGATGCTAGCCAGAGCCCTCTTTAGCCTCACGCAGCTGCAGGCTGATGATGCCGAGAGGCACAGTGGGAAGCAGGGAGAGCCCAGGCTGGCGGGTGCTGAGTTGAGTGGATCCAAGGTTCGTGAGAACTTGGCAGGATACTGCCAGCTGCCAGTAGGGTCCCCAGGTGAACAGCCCACAGGGGCTGTCCCTAGAAGCAAACACAGAATCCCAACAAGGAGGGAAGGTGAAGGGCCAGAGAAAGACATCCTTACTGTCATCTCTCTTAGAAAAGACCACAGCCACAAGGAGGCATCACCAGGCTATCATCTGATTGACAGGTTGGATTCCATCCCTACCTGAGTTAGATAGTTTATTGTGCCAACCTGGCTGATAAACACACGTGGGGTTAATTGAAGGGTGGAGGGATAAATGGCTCGGGGAGCCTCGGCTTTCTAGCTCTCGGGTCTCTTGCTCTGTGATGGTCGCTCCAGGGAGCAGGTGCCTTAGCAGTTCCCTGCTTCAGCTTGCAAGGCTGACTTCCTGCAAGACATCCCCAAGGAGAAGCCACCTGGACCTCCCCCGATACAGCCCTGCGTGCTGGAGCACCTATATGGAGACCCCTGCCAGCGTTGAGATATTTACACGTTCACTGACTTGGCTTGCCTCCTGCAGTCGGCATCATTGTATCTGTTTTTTGAGATGGAGGAGCACTTTGTGGACTGGTGTTGGACATACAGGTTAATGGGTTAATGTTGGACTTGTGGGCTTGGGCAGCACTGGGTTGGGATATTTTCTTGATGTGCACTTAACCTTTATATAAAACTCTCTCTTATACATGAGTTTCTGTGGATTTGTTTCTCTAAAGTACCTAGACTAATACGCTACTTCAAGTTGGCATAAACTCTGCCACATCTTGAGAGGTGGTTTGTTGGATTTATCAGCAAGGTCATTATCTTCTGTCTCTGCAGTCTGAGGGGCTCCTTTGGGTTGACGAGCTTATATCTTTATACCAGCAGTCTCGAGAGGGAGGAGGGAAGCAGTTAACAAGTCTGTTACCAAAGGCCTATATTTCATCCCAGTTCTGAAAAAGGTTAGAGAGCCTCTCGGCCTCCATAACGTGCCGAAATTGCTAGTCAGCCCACAGACGTATTTAGAACCCGTTTAAGCATTCACGGGCCTCCCCTTGGCAGCTCTGCAGGCTCCGGTAAGCACCATGAACTCCATTTTGGTGGGGGTGGGGTGGGGGTGAAGTAGCTTCAGGGAGGCCTTGCCTTTCAAGAACTGCAATGAAGAGGCTGTGATGGCAGGCCTAGCCCAATGGTGAGAATTGGCAGGCCCAGGTTTCAAAACAGCCTTCAGCCAGTAGAATCCAATCAGGATTTTCTCTTAACTATTTCTGAGGAGTTTAAAGCTGCTTCGTTGAATTTAGGTAAGCAATACTCCTCCTTGTCAATTTTCAGAAGGCGCGCAGGCAGAATTCAAGCAGCCCCCACCCCTCACCCCCGCGCGCTTTTGCTCTAGGTGCAGGTACGTCAGGAGGAGAGCGTCAGGAGGAGAACTTCATGGCCCGCGAGCCTCCTGGTGAGAGAGTTGGGTCAGAGCAGGGTTCAGGCGAGCAGATACTGCGTGGGGAACGTAAACATGAAACACAAATCCCCTTGTGCTCGCTTCGGCAGCACACATCCTCAAATTGGGACGATACATAGAAGCTTAGCATTCCCCTGCAAGGATAACACACACATTTGTGAAGCGTTCCGTATTTTTAAAATCTGTTATTTAAAAAAAAATATATATATAAATAACAAATTCCCCTGCTATAATCTGTAGTGTTTTTGTTTTGTTTTGGAGGCAGAGGGAATATCCTTTTGCTTCCAGGTCAAGTTGCGAGCTGTAGTAACCGGCTGGATTCTTAGCTTGCTATATTTCTGTGTTAAAATGCCTGAAATCAGGGAGGGAGGGGAAAAATGAGGGGCTGACACCAAGGGCTCAAGTAGAAAGCAGGTGTTGTGAGAATGATGATGGCAACATAGGACGAATGTGCTGGACACAAATGACATATGTACGGATTGTGAAGAGCTGTATGAGCCCCTAATGAAATGATTATTAAAAAAAATGCCTGAAAGGTTTCCAGAGACCTCACGCACGTAGTGGGGCGGGGTTGGGGGAGGGATCAAAGTGATAGTTAGGAAGGCCTAATGCAGGCATGTTTGTGAGGGCTTCTTTTAGCTTAATTATGCCTTCCTGACTCTCCAGGGCAATTTGGAAAGAATCTGGTCTGGAGGATTTCAAATATTTATGGAGGAGGTGGACGTCCCAGGAAAAATGGGCACTCCAGCTCTGCAGTAGCCACAGAGCTCCTGAAACCCACCTAATTGTTTCATAGCTTTGAGGATAGGACACGCAAAAATAGCATCTTTTCGCTTAGGATCAGTAGAAATACCTTCTAGAGAATCAAATGTCCTAAATACTTACCGGAAGGCTGGGCTAATCGTAGATTTTCTCTACACATGTTATGCTCTCTGACAGCTGTATGTTTTAATACGATTATATCCTCATCAATACAGGCTTGCTGGGTGTTTGAGCATATGGCTAAGTCGTGAAATGGTGCAGTAATTTGTATTCATTTTTAAGTGGAAAGGGTTAGCATGGAGAATTTGAGAGAAATTGCTGAGAGATTGGGTAAAACCTTAATGCCTCACAGCCAAATGTTGCAGATTTTACCAGGTGACGCAAATATTGACTGTCAGGAAGGACAGGAATACAGAAGAAGGTGCTATAATGATCAATCACAGTGAGACGTACAGCATCCAGGGAAGCATTAGAAGGCAATAAGCGAGGATTTGGGACTACTGGAAATCTAAGTATAATAATGCAGTTAATAGCTCTGAAATGTTGTACAAATCTCTAGCCCCTGTTGGCAGCTTACTTAACAGGGAGTACCGGGGTGTTACATGAAATGGGTCAGGGACCAACTAATCCTTTAGAAAGGATGAATTGGTTCAGGGACCAATTAATCCTTTAGAAAGGAAGTCCTGAATAATAAGGAAAAATCCCAGCCTAGTGTCTTCTTTTGCAGGGGCTGCTCACTGCAAGGTCAGCAGTCCGCAACCACTAGCCGTTCCTCAGGAGAAAGATGAGGCTTTCTAGTCCCCCCAGCGATGTTCAATCTCAGAAACTCACAGGGGTGATTCTGTTCCGTCCCATAGTGCCCTCTGAGTACGAATCAACTCGAGGGCAGTGAATTAAGTTGGGTTGGGAGTAGCTTCTTGCCTGAGGGGATATTGAGGCTGTTTTGGTCAAAGCTCAGGAATGTTTCACTCAATACCTCTTGGCCATTGAGTTGGCGCTGACTCATAGCAACCGGATCGGCAGGGTAGAACCGTCCCCTGTGATCTTCCAAGCTTGCAACGCTTGTCTACCTGAACTACAGACTCAACTCATGTCAGTGGATGTCATGGCCCATCAAGTTTCAGGAGTTAATGAAAAAAGACTGTGTGTGTGTGTGTGTGTTTGTGTTTGTTTTAGAGGGGGCTAAGTTGTCTTCGAATGACCAGTGCTTGCAAACAGCAAGATGTGCTCTCCTTTCAATTAGTTCTGATCCAGAGCTCTTCAGAGGTCTCTGAGGGATCTAGCATGTTACTAATATTTCTCCTTTTCTGAAAGCTGTAAATGACAGGCCCATTTAAACAAAAGCCCCCCTCCCCCAAATTAACATGAGTTTCAGATTTAAGCAAGCAGAAAGGGATGTAAATCTTCAGTACAACCGTAGGAAATACACAGGTTTTGACTAATGAAGTCCGTTATCACTTTATAATACCCACGATTTTTGAAGAGTTAGTACTCTGGGGAAGGGGCTCTTGTAAATATCTGAGGTTAACTGCAGAGAGAGTAGCGCCCATGTCAATGACAAAGGTGCATGGCGCTCCATTCATAAATGTGGTAGTTTCACCTTTCAGGTTATGTGCCACCCTAGGAAAAGCCCCTCTTTAGTCTCCGGGCTCCACTCACACAATATCTGATCAAAGGGAGTATGGCTTAAGCATTTCTTTACCTTGTAATAATCCTTTCCCCAATGCCCAAGTTTCTTGCAATAATTGCAAGTACTGGGCTTCGTGTCTCCAAAGAGCCTTTACTTATTTTACTGGTTGGAGATGACAATTGTTTTCAGTGTACAACCATTTGTCTTAGAGCAGTGGTTCTCAACCTGTGGGTTGCAATCCCTTTGGGGGTCGAATGACCCTTTCACAGGGGTCGCCCAATTCATAACAGTAGCAAAATGAGTTATGAAATAGCAACGAAAATAATTTTATGGTTAGGGGAGGTCACCATAACCATAAAGGGTTGCGGCATTAGGAAGATTGAGAAGCACTGTCTTAGAGGTTTGCTCAGTCTCCAAGACGGAGAAAGTTTGTGAACTCATCGGCCAGGCTGGCAATGGGAACTGCTTGCTAATCTAGCTGATGCCTTTTTACTATGAAAGTTGGGTTGTCGGCCACATATGAGTACATTAAAAGCTGTGGTAGCCTGAGGATGATAGATCAACCCTGGCATCTTCAGCAAACATTTGAAAACAATCTAGCCTGGGTAATTTTTTTTTTTTTTAATATTCAAGAGTGAATTTTTGTCCTATTAGGGGGAAAGCTTTTGGAATGGCCTTTAGAAATTTTCACGACAGCTTGAGAATCTTGTAACAGTTGGTGGCTATTTTATTTAGGTCTAGAGCTTAATTATCTCTGTTCAGTCTGTTTTAAGTAAAATTGGGACTCTCCAGGCCTGGTTATCATGTGGTTTAGTTATACAAATCAGAGAGCCCAGAGTGGTAAGCTTTAACAAGGATTTTTAATTTGTCCACAAACTTGTAAGGATCCTTCTACATTTTGGAAATCTTTAGCAATTTTATGTAATTCACAGTGTGTCCATGGAATACAAACAGTATGTGGAGGATGCTCGCTCTCGACAGGAGGCCAGGTTTTAAAAGGCATCTCAGGAGCAGGTGTTACGTACGTCCTCAGCAGGTTTTCAGGCTAACAGGGAAATACGACATTTCAAGAATGGGCTTCATTTTTCTCAGTAGAGACTTTAGGGAGAAAGAGAAGTTTAGACAAAGTATGAGTAGAGGAATCTTTTGTAGCATCCGCGAAGCAAGGAGGCAGAAAAGAGAGAGGAGGGCAGAAAAGCAAGCAAATGGTCCCAGCACAGTTAAGAGTATTTCAAACAGAAATCTGGAATTGCAATTCCTTATTTTGTTTATCTATTTTCTCACATTATCCTGTCAAGAAGAGATTTTACTCTCATCCACCCAGAAATTTTAAAAACCTGCTTAAAAAAAAAGTATCCAATTAGGGAATCTTTTTTGTTTTGTCCAATTTTTGTTTAATTCTGGAACTTTTCATTTCTAGTTGGCTGCACAGTAATTCATTTTAGACAATTCGAAGGAACCAGAAAGCAGTCACATGTTTTCCTGACTGTCCCTAGTGAGGAAATGTCAAGCAAACAGGTACAAACAGATAGCAGAGCCATAGTGCCGGTTCCTGTGTTTCTAGAAGTCAAAAGCTCATGTTCTTTATTGAGGTAAAGCTCCACCTGGGGCTCCAATGACTAACGGAGCTGATCAGTTACCAAAGCCACCAATCACAGTAGGCATTACTACCAAGAACATTATGGCGAAGGCCTGGGCTGGAACAATTACGCTGTGGATCTGGTCGCTGCCTGGTGAGGCACCGGGTCGTCTGGGTTCAGCTCGGATGAAAAGACTTAGAGCAGTTCTAACCATGCCAGCTCAAACCCCAAATAGGAGGTCCAGTGTGCCGGTGTCTTTACGATTGGTTAAGAATCAGTGAGCGGTTAATGAGCATAGGTAAGACGGCTGAGTAAGCATTAGACTGTAAATCGAAAGACGGGTTTAAGCCCTCTTATCAAGTCCTGAAGTGAGGAATCATTTTGAATTGCAAATTCAAAGACACAGCTTTAATTCTGCGGGGGTTTCTCCCATCTCTCTCCCCTCCTCCCTTCTTTTCAAGGCGGGAGAAGTAGATTGAAGCCAGTTGACTAGGGTTATTAGCTGTTAACTAAGAGTTTATGGGATCAAACCCATCAATATAGGCAGACTTAGCTTAATTAGAGTAATTGGTTTTCGTCCAGTTGATGTAAGCATCTTGCAACCCTTAACAGAGGATAAGTAAAGGTTACTTGCTTAGGGCTTTGAAGGCCCTTGGTCTAATCTAACCTAATCCCCTATTTGAAGAGGAATATTATGGGATAAGGGGAAGTATGAGTGATGAAATAGAAGCTAAAGTTGGCAAGAGCAACATTTTATATGGAGAGTTGATTTTTCATTTTAGTTTTATATTGTTACTTGATGGGAATAAGGTTACAGAGGACTCATAGATTAAACATATATAAAGGTTTAGTAATGCTAAGATTGCTTTAATAAAAGGTAAAATAACTGGTACAGATAGGAACTGGAAATCCAGGGAATCCAGGGTGGATGAGCCCTACAGGACCAGTGGTGTGAGTGGCAATACTGGGAGGGTAGAGGGAGAGTGGGTAGGAAAGAGGGAACCGATTACAAGGAACTATATGTGACCTCCTCCCTGGGGGACGGAAAACATAAAAGTGGGTGAAGGGAGACGTCGGACAGGGCAAGATATGACAAAATAGCAATTTATAAATTATCAAGGGCTCATGAAGGAGAGGGGAGCGGGGAGGGGTGGGGGAATGAGAACCTAATGCCGGGGGCTTAAGTGGAGAGAAAATGTTTTGAGAATGATGAGGGTAATGAGTGTACAAATGCACTTTACACAATTGATGTGTGTATGGATTGTGACAAGAGTTGTATGAGCCCCTAATAAAATGATTTAAAAAAATTGTTGAATGAGGCCCCAATAAAATGATTAAAAAAAAAAAAAGGTAAGACAATGCTGGTATTTTTAGTAAGGTCTTGAATGGTGAGCTATTTAGGTCTAAAGCCTGATAGTGGGGGTAGTCCTCCTATGGATACAAGGATTAATAAGAAGACTGTTATTATTAAAGGCAAGTTGTTTCATACTATTAAGAATGATGTGGTTGATGAAGTTATGAAATTAATTAGTATAATGAAGGTTGATGACGTAAAGATAATATAATATGTTAAATGTAATATTATGAGGGAAGGAATATAGACAATGATAGCTGATATTCAGCCTATGTGGGCAATAGATGAATATGCTATAATTTTTCATAGGTGAGCTTGATTAAGCCCTCCTTACCCCCTAATTAGGTTAGAGAGAATAGCTGAAATTAAGATAAAATTAATGTCTATAGAGGGTGAAATTTGATACAGAATAGAGAGGGCACCAAGTTTTTGCCAGGTTAGAAAAATTAGGCTTGTTGATAAGAGGGTTCCTCGTGCTACCTCTGGGACTCAGAAGTGAAGTGGGGTGATACCTCATTTTATTATTAGGGCACTGAGTATAAGTATCGAAGCGGCTGAATAACTTGCTTCCAGAGGCAGTCATTGTCCCGGGTTTATAAAACTTAATAAAGCTGCTATGAGTAAAAGTACGGAGGCAGTTGTTTGAATAAGGAAATATTTTATTGCAGCTTCAATTGATCGTGGGGTGTGCGATTTCATAAAGAGAGGAATAATTGCAAACATAATTTATTTCAAGTCCTATTCATGTTAACAGTCAATGGGAGCTAATCATGGTAATTAAGATGCCTGAAACTAAAGTTATTAAATTAGTAAAGAGAACTAGGGGATTTATTAGTATGGGAAAGGATAAACCAACATTTTCGGGGTGTGGGCCCTATAGCTTAATTAGCTGACCTTACTTAGAATATGGTGATATATGGTAGCACAGAGATTTTGGAATTCTCTAGTTTAGGTTCAACCTTTAAAATTCTAGAAATAAGAGGATTTAAACCTCTATAATTTACTCTATCAAAGTAACTCTTTTGTCAGACATAGTTCTCTCTATATTTTTTGGGGGGGATACTTGCTAATATGATTGGAACAGAAATATGTCATATACATAAATATGGCATATTCTGGAAGGGAATTCCACATTGCCTCTAGACATGGTATTTCCCATCTTCAAAGGTGGTTTGAATTTGTTCAAAGCTAAGCATTCTTCGACTGGTAGGGATTCTTGCAGATTCTGGACAGTGTGTCTTGCTTATAAAAATTCGTGCCTTTTGGCAGGGCATTGTTTTGTAGCTAGTAGGCAACCTATTGCTTCTGGGCCACTCCATGTACCCGTTTATCCGGACACAGCAGTCTTTCACCATCTCTCAGCTTGCTACTACCCTGCAGCGTTTGCCGGTCTTCCTGTACCATTTTCTGTGGCTTATAGAGCCCGAGATTCCACCATATGAAGACTTCTAGGGCAGATTTCCGAGAATTGTACACAATTGCCCGTAGCAGGGACAAACATTAGAAAGACGTTTTCTAAGACCAGGATCAGAAGAGACAAGACAAATGGAAACATACGAAGATAAAACGAACATCCTTCAATAACTCGGGAATAACGCAACACACAAAGGTGGAGCTCAAGATCGGGCATCCGGAACCAGAGGCGCTCCAGTGGGTTCGTGTGGGCACCAGAACGTCCCGTCCTTGCCCTTTCAGAGCCCCTGAAGATAAATAGGGCTCTTTGAAATCCCACTTCTGACACACAACTGCCTAGGAGCAAGCGGGAGCTCGGGTTTATTGGAGGAATACAGGGATCGGGACTCAGACGGTCCTTGATGAAGATTCACGAAAGTCCTGCACTGGAAGAAATTAATCACAGCTGAAGGACACCAGATCCCAGAATTCATAAGAAAAAAAAAA